AAAAACTGCCATTAAGAGACACCACGAAACTTTTTTCCTCTTCCATTATTCCACAATGCGGTACAGTCTCTTTCCTTGTTCTGCAGACGGGTAATGCCAGCAACCCTGGAGGACGGACATTCCTGCTGAAATTTCAGGGCCAGTATAAAAGACAACAAATTAATTTTGTGGAGAGTGACACCGTGGCTTCCTTCTCCTCTGTTTGTAAACACAGGCTGGTTTTCTGGAAAGAGGGAAGAGGTTGCTTCCACTTTATTTTCATATCTGTAATTTTAATGCGCTTTAAAAAATTTTAGGTTATAGAAAAACATAGACACAGAGGAAATAAGTTAGATGATTATTCACATTGCAAAGGGATTCTCCATAGGGTTGCATTAAATACTGAATTTTCCTAAAGCAGTGAATTTGGGACTTGATTTAAAAGCAGCTTTCCAAAAATACATTTCAAAAATACATTTGTAAAAGTGAGGTATACCTACAGATTCATCTTAACTCTCCTTCGAGGACAATCTAGCATCTTCTTTGCACTCGCAGGGCAGGGGAACAAAAAGGACTTGTTAAGGAACAGTCAACGGATTCTTGGACCACCCTCCTCACCTTCGTTTGGAGATGAGGCTTTTCAGAATTCACCCCAGACAGAGAAAGATCCACTTGTGGCCCTAGTCCTGTCACTGTTCTGCAACAAGTCTCCTTCTAAAAGCAGGGGCTTGCTGCGCATTGGCCCAGTGAAACGGGCGTCAAGGAGCAGTGTGTGTGGATTTGGATTCGGCACAGACCACAAGTATGGCCTGTGGCCGATGAGGAAGGTCAGAGCAACTGACTCAAAGGTTTCTGGTAGGTAGGCTGTTTCTTCCCCTCTGCACAGGTCACAAGGTGAGGAAGGGCCCCTTCTTCACAGGTGAACACTGATGTCCATCTACAGCAGACAGAGCCCAACTGCTCTTTGTGCAAAAACCCCATGAAAACCGGGAATCCTTCCCACCCCGTCTTTGTGCTGAATAATATCGATTGGTAAACCACCATTTCCCCACAGAGTACAAATGGGTGTTTGGAAAACTCCATCCCATGATTCAGGAGTCAAGGAGATGCACCGCTGAGGCTCCAAAAGCTGACAATTTGACCTCCCTGGGTTACACCCAGGCGAGAGTGGCTTCACCGCTCAAACCAGCGAGCCAAGTTGCGTATGCTCTTGGGCCGGTCCCGGGCGGTCTGCACAGCCTGGCAGACCCGGCACCAGGGCTCGTCCCAGAAGGAGGTGATGTGCACCGCGTAGCTCCTGCGCCAGTTGAAGTAGCGACGGTAGACTGACGGGTTTCGGTCGAGGAAGAGCAGGTAGGCGGCCAGGGAGGAGGCACTTGGGAAGTCATCCACGTGGATGAAGGCACCGCGGGGCACAAAGCGCTCATAATTGGCACGGTCCGGGCCCAGCACCACCGGCACGGTCCCGGCCAGCAACGCGTTGCGCCAAAACTTCTCGGTGATATAATCCAGATGCTGCGAGTTCTCGAAGGCCAGGTAGAACTTGTAGCGGGCCACTGTGTGCAGGAGACCAACGTCGGGCACCGGCCGCCCCGGCCCCCTCCTGCCGAACACGTCCACCGCCACGTGCTGGCTCAGCTGGTGGTAATAGCGCACCCGGGCCTGGCGCTCGTCCCAGTTGCTCACCACCCAGGCCACCAGCCCCCGTTTCCGGGCGAGCGGCGCGGCCAGGCCCAGCGGCGGGTCACTGGGATGGGTCCTGGGGTAGAGCGAGCCGTAAGGCACGAACACGTCCGAGTCGGCCCGGTAGGAGAGGGTCCAGTTGAAGAGGTTACCTGCCAGGCTTCGCAAGCCCGGGGAGTGGGAGGGCGACTCGAAGTTCATCCACACCCAGCGCTGGCCCGGGGGCCTGAGGCCCGAGGTGGCCAGGGCTTCGGCCGCCGCCGTCTCCTCGTTGTCCAACACCCGCAACTCCAGCCCCTCGGCCCCGCGCGCCTGGACGCCCCAGGGCGGGGGCCAGTCGGGGGAGCCCTTCACGAGGTCCCGGTGGTGGAAGAGCACCGCCTGGGCCTCCGCATAGGCCGCCCGGTCGGTGAGCAGGCGGCAGCCGCTGATGTTGAAGCGCAGCCAGCAGTCCGGCGGCCGCCTCGCGCGGCTGTCGCGCCCGGCGAAGGGTTCCCACCACAGCAGCACGCCCACCGGCCGCCGCGGGCGGGAGGACGCCCAGGGCAGCGGCGGCAGCTGCCTCCAGCAGGAGTAGGCGGCCAGAGCGGTGCACAGCAGGCCGACAGCCACCAGCGCCAGGGAGCTCCGCAGAAGCCCCCGGCCTCGGCGCCGCCCGAAGCGCCGGCCGCCCGCGGGGCCCCACGGCGCCCGCATGGCTCGCGCAGGCACCGCCGCCGCCTCTTGCCGCGCGTCCGCAGGCGCGGAGCAGCGGAGCCCGCTCTCATGCTGCCGCTGCGGCTCCGGCCGTCGTTGCCGCTCGCCGCTGGCCCTGGAGCGGGAGAGGGCGGTCCCGGAATCCCGAAGCTCGCGGGTGTGGCTCTCCTCCCCGCGAGTCCCCGCAGAGCGCGCCACCAGGGCGAGGTGAGCGGGCCGGGCAGCCCAGCCCGGGGCCGCCCCGTCCCTCCCCGCCACCATGCCTCCAGCCCGACCCGCGCGGCCGCCCCGGGCGTTTCCTGCCGCGCCTCCGCCCGCCCCCACCTGGCCCAGGGCTCCCGGACTAGCGGCCGCGCGGCCCAGGCCCCCTCACCCGCTCCTCCGGATCCCGCCGCAGGGGGGTCCCGGGCCTTTCTGCGCCCGCCCAACGCCCTGGCCTTGAGCCCGGGCCTGCCCGCGGCTCCCTCCCAGCTGCGCCCCGGCGTTCGGTCGCGGTGGCCTGCACCCTCGCCTGGCACAGGGGGGACCCGGTTCACCGCAGCGCGCGTGCAGAGGGCGCTAGAGCAGGCGCGCGGGCTCCTAGGGAAGGCGGGCCGGGGGTGCCGAGTCCCCGGCAGGGGGACGGAAGATCGGGTCCTCTTCCTTCCTCACCCGCCCTGCTGTGGCCAGCGACGCCTGCCGGAGGGAGGGAGCCCGAGAGGCCGCGGGAACGTGCGGGCTGCGGCGCTGCCACCGCGTCGGTGACCGTGACCTCGTGACCCGCCGAGACTGGCCGGCGGCGCGACGCACGGAGAGGTCGTGCATTTTGTGAAACCAAGCTTCCAGGGTGGATATTAGTTAAACCGTACTGTCACAAGAACGTTTCCTCTGCCTACCTCCCCAGCAGAGGATCGGAGGCATAAAACATTTTCTGAGCAATTGAAACATTTCTTTTCCCTCCCTCCGCCTCTAAATACTTCTGACTGCAGGCCGGGAGCATTCTTTGTACGGGGCTAGGAGGAGTCATAAACCAAAGATAAATATAGGGCCCTTGTGGCCTTTGTGCTCAAGGAACTTCCTGCCTATTCAGTGAAATGAATGAATGAACAGCACTATTCATTTGACTAAGCACGGAAGAAACAACTGAATTTCTGTACTCAAGAAGATCATGCAAAACACTCTCGACTGTACAATGATGGCTGAGATAAGTACTACAGCACCCAATTTTAGGATGTGAAAGATAAGTATCTCACTGCCGCTTCCCGTGTGAAGGCATCTACTTCTACAGTCGCTTGAGCAATTTTTTCCCCTACACCTTGAATTTGAATTTCTGGGTTTAGGCCTTCACTTACGTTATTAAACTCTTATTCAGTGAAATTCCAAATAGGCCATAGGTGGGCAACTGACCTAAGAAGAAGAGGCAGCTTTGAGACAATTTTTAGTAGAACACACCTGTGCATCGCGGTCCCACAGCCCAGTGCCATATTAAGTTACAGAATGTTAGAGGAGAAATAGATTTGCTGGGAATGGGGCCAACCTGTCAGGTGTTTTTGATGTTATGCATACAGAAAATAAACCTGGATTTGCCATTAGAATTTCCTGGGAAGAACTTTCTCATTAAAAATCAAGTACAGATTGTAGGGGTGCCTGGGTGACACACTGGGTGACACCCCTGGTTTGAGCTCATGTCCTTGACCTCAGGGTTGTGATCTCAGGGGCTTAAGATTCAGCCCTGCATAGGGCTCAGCAGGGAGTATGCTTAAGACTGTCTCTCCCTCTCTCTCTGCCTCTCTCCCTGCCTCTCAAATAAATAATAAACCTTTTTAAAAAATCAAGTACAGATTGTGAAAGCTTCTATAAAGATGGTTTCATGTGGCATGCCTCCAGTTTTGGAGCTGGACAGCATTAGGCGCCCTGACTGTACTCATCAACCTAGTGACACTTTCTTCTACACACTAAAACCTTTTGTTTGTCTTTTCTCATTTTTCTTTTAATTTCGCAGAATCATTTTCAAACTACTTAAGCCAATTGTCACTGAAATTAGGAATTTCACTTCCACTCTTTTATTTTTAATTAAAAAAAAACAAGGGCACCTGGGTGGCTCAGTCAGTTAAGCATCTGCCTTCAACTCAGGTCATGATCCCAGCATCCTGGGGAGAGCTTCTCCCCCTCCCACTGCCCCTGCTTGTGCTCTCTCTCTCTCTTTTTCTGTCAAATGAATAAATAAAATCTTTTTTTTTTTAAAAAAAAAGGAAAATGAATAAAAAAATAAAAATAAAAAAAGCTTTGAATGCACAAATAACTTTTTTCAACCAATGAAGGATAGGACATATTAGCTTTGCTTTTTATGCAATGCAAAAACCTGCACATTCATGCACATTCCTCCCCCACGTCAGTTAAATAAGACATCACAGGAGGAGCATAACGTTGTGTCCAGCACCTGGTAGGTAAGGCTTTGGTTAATGTTGCTTCCTTCCCCCACTCCCAGTTTTCCCGTAAATCCTTCCTTCAGATATTCCAGTTACGCCAACTCTTTATTGGTGGAATGACTCTGATCTCATGAATATCAATTTCCATTGTCTCTACTGACCTTGGTAGGATGAAGGATACAACTCTCTATTTAGTCTCATCTTGATGTTGGGGGAAGGGATACCTAGAAGAGGGTATAGTTGGATCAACAGAAACCAATCATGACTTCTCTACAAACAAGTGATTGATTTATTCCCTGGGCCATGGTTTGTTCTTATTTTAAAGGAATGGGGTATTCTCATGCCTTTATTGAACCAGTTGGGAAACTGGGATAAAAAACACTTATTTCTACCTTCAAGAATCTGAAAGAGACAGAGGGAAGGAATCCTAGAAGGCTTTGGTAGGGTGGATCCTGGAATAATTAGGGACCACTGAAATCAGGCAGAGGGCCGAGATGTTAGTCTAAGCAGCAGGGGCAGCACACCAATGGCCAGACAGTGAGGATGAGGGTGGTAGGTTAGAAGTCACTAGGGTTTAGTTTGGCTAAGGAGATGGGGTTTTATCCTGAAGGTTGTAGAGTCTTCAAAAGGTTTGAACAAAGCGAGGGAGCAATATAATGGGATTAGTATTTTTTATTTTTTTTGTTTTTTTGTTTTAAGATTTTATTTATTTATTTGAGAGAGAGAGAATGAGAGATAGGGAGCATGAGAGGGAAGAGGGTCAGAGGGAGAAGCAGACCCCCTGCTGAGCGGGGAGCCCGATGTGGGACTCGATCCCGGGACTCCAGGATCATGACCTGAGCCGAAGGCAGTCGCTTAACCAACTGAGCCACCCAGGCGCCCAGAATTAGTATTTTTTAAAAGCTCGTTGTGAGGGGAGGGGAGTATATGGAAGTTGACATAAGATAGGCTTTGGTGTGCTAGCCCTGTTTATTGACATAGGCACTGGTTAATGGGTGTGTTTTGTTGAGTAAATTCATTAAGCTACAGACTTATATATGTACTTTTGTTTCTGTATATTATACTTCAGTGAAATGTTTCTAAGGGAAAAAATCATTCTTTCATCAGTAAAGGATGAATTGGGTATTAGGGACCAGGATAAGAGCAGAAGTATCTCATCCAGTTGGAAAGATATTGCTATAAATCACATACGAAACAAAATGCCTGAACTAAAATAGTAGATGTGAGAATGAGATTAAATTAAAATTAAAGGAGAGTAGATTCAGAGATAGTTAGGAGGCCAGGGCCTTTCTCCAGGAAGCCTTCCCATATGCACAAATCCAGGGTAGGTTACATATATGTGCTCCCATATATACATCTTTCAGAATACCATGGGGGCAGGGATCATGTTTCGTTCATAACTCCAGCCCTAGCGCAGAACCTGGCACGTAGTAGTATTCATCATCTCAATGAATACTTGTTGAATGAAGGAGGGCTCTTAATGTATTGCTGAAATAATCTGTTGGTATCTGTGTTCCCCACTAGAAAGTGTGTAAGCATCAGGAAAAATTGGCTACGTGAATGATTTGCTGTGACATTAAGAAGCCCCTTAAGCTTTCAGGCGGTAAATGCAACACATGAATTGGAACCCTGATGACAAGCATCAGAAACTCCATCAAATTAGGCCGCCTCTCATTGGCCCAACCTGGACCAAGTGCTCATTCCTGAAGCAGTCACTGTGGTCAGGAGATGTGGACTCTCTTGAGATCTTCTTCTGGAGCTACAGGATAGGTTTAGCTAAACCTCATGGGCTAACAATAGGGGGAGAGTAGTTCCCCAAAGTAAAAAATAAAGTGCTGTTATCTGAAGAGGGAAGGGTTGGAGGGCAGTCCAAAACAACATGCCTATTAGCCATACAAAAGGAATTGTTATTCTAAATGAACTCTAAATCACCTCAGAATTTCAAGAATTCAAAAAAAAATTTAAGCATTCTAGGATTCTTCTTAATTTGGTTAACGATAAACAAAGTATTTCTTGTATATTTAAAGGCCTCTCAGTTTCCACAGACTATTACACAGGAGGAAGTGGCTTTCTGTTGCAAGCATGAAGACAGGGCTTTTGGCCCCTGAGGACTGCTAAACCACGGTAGAAGAGAGGTCCGCAATTCAAGGTGCATTTTCCCAAGCTGAGTGAGTCATCACCTCCCAATGTGTCCAAGGAGGATCAATTCAGTTCCAAAATTTGATAGCGGATAGAATTCTCTGAGGCCAAGGCCAAGGACAACTCTGGTTGCTAAACGTCTAACCCATTCTTTGCTCTTCCTCAAATAGTTCATTGTAAGCTGTCCTGGTGCTCCTCACCAGAGACATTTTGATGAAGGATAGTTGAAAGAAAGGCAGGCAGGGACAATGGGTCCCTGCCCTAGGAGGAAACCACCCTTAAAAGGATTTTACACCACCCTGGAAGGAGCCCTCCACCCTTTCCAACTCCATAGATAGATGACAAAAACCTAATGGGGTGACAGACGGCATGGAGGGGTGATCAGATTAAAACAGCCCACCAACAAGCCCATAAAAACCCCTAGACTTAGAAACTCCAGTGGTGAGGCGCCTGGGTGGCTCAGTAGGTTAAGCGTCTGCCTTTGGCTCAGGTTATGATCCTGGGGTCCTGGGATCGAGTCCCGCATCGGGCTCCCTGCTCAGTGGGGAGCCTGCTTCTCCCTCTCCCTCTGCTGCTCCCCCTGCTTGTGCA